TCCTTTTGAGCCTGGCAGCAACAGTGGGGCAGCTCCCCCCTACTGGCTGGCGCTCTTGTGCCTCCCTCTGGCAGTCTCTGCCTTCGGTCTTCCACAGCCCCCCACCCCCCGTGTACCTCTATCCCGTGGCTGGCTGGCACTGCCCACCGGTGCCAGGCTGATTTGTGAACTGGCAGCATCCTGGGCCTAGCTGAGGGGCCGGGGTGTGTGTGAAGCGGGTGTGTCAGCTCAGACTGACCCTCGACAGGGCCCTGTCCCTTTCCCACCCCCAGTGTGCTTTGGATGGGGGGGGGACTCCGTGAGTCTAGCAACAACACATCCCCCCCGTGAGGTGGGCTCTGCTGAGTGATCCCGCAGGAGTCTCCCAGGGCAGAGGGGGGACGTGACCCTGGTTCTCCCAGGTCCTGCTGTAGGCGCCCCCCCCACACACACTGGCAGAGCAGCCGGGGTGCTCATCGGACCAAGGAGGAGGGGGTCCCTCGCCCATTGGGCATCCCAGCAACTGGTATTGGGAGGAATACTGGCTCTGACCATGGACTGGTCTGGTCCCCTCTTAAAGCCACCTGCAGCCTGTGGCAGGGAGGTCCACATGTTCCACTGCTGGTCAAAGAGAACTTCATCCCTTCATCTGTGGACGGGAACAGCAGGAGGGACGGCAGTGCCCGCCCTGGTGAGGGGGCCAGCCCCTGAAGAGGGACACACCCAGCGAGCGGGGGGGTGGTGGTGGTGTCTAGCCGCATCCCAGCAGGCCGAGTGGATCGGTCAGTCTCCCTGCAGAGGTGGAGGAGCTCCCCCTGCCTCCCCTGCGCAGAAAGCCCTCTGCGGGGAGGGGGACGTGCCAGCAGTAATTAGGGCTCCTGAAAAGAAAAGGAGGAAGAGCCGTTGGGGCCTGGCGGGGGGGGGGCTGGCAGTTTGAGGGGGGGGAGGGGGCCGGAAGGGGCAGAGCCCCCCTTCGCGCGCGCGCGCACACACACACACACACACACACACACACGAGACGGGGAGGCCACTCAGGCAGGGGTCTGGTGGTGAGAAGAGGCTGGCTGATGATGGGGGGGCCACGCTCCCCACGTGCCTGCCAGAGCAGCGGATGAGGAGGGGCTCCCCCGGGGGCCTGGTCCCCTGCCCCCACCCCCCAGCTGCCTCAGGGGGCTGAGAACTGTGACTAGAGCATGAATCTGTCCCTCGTGGAGACCTCCTCTCCCCCCCTTTTTTTTTCCCCGCCCGCTGCCAGGATAGGCTGCCTCTGCATGACCCCTTCCTCCCTCCCACGGGGCTCTCCGCCTGGCCCTGGAAAGACCACAGGCGGCCCACGGGGTGGGGTGGGGCCGGGGGCTCCTGGCCACGCTTCACTCGCTGCTTCAGTGGGCTCGGAAGTGGGGCTTCCTCCAGTCCGGCCTTGGCTTACATGGGACACAACAGACATGCCCCCGTGGCCGTGGGGCTTGCGTGCCACTCTGGGCACAGCCTGAAATGCTGGGGCTGTTGCCAAGAAAAGGGGGAAAACCCACACACACACACACACCCCACGGGGGGCGCAGGGCACTCTGGGTGAGGCCGTGGTCCTTTTGGGGGTCGCCAATGAAGTTGCAGAATACAGATCAGAATCTCCCCCCGGGAAGGGAAATGCCAGTGGCCCCGCCTCCCCCCCCCTTGTGGGCTTCCACGGCCCCCCAAAAGGGAAGCCCTGCAGTGACACCCCCCCCCACGGGTCCCTTGGCATCAAAGCAGCTGGGGGGGGGGCAGTGAGCCTTTCAAAGAGGCGCTTCAGGGCGAAGGAGAGTGGAGGCTGCTGGGAAGGTGAGTGAAAAGTGTGCATCCGGAGAGTGATTTCAGCTAAGCATGCCTTTACTTAGTCAGGAACAAAGGCAAGTTAACCGGCTCGCAGGCCGGCTTATATTCCCTCAGAGAAACCCACCACCAAACACCCCCCCCACTCCCGATAGGCTATTTAGAGTGACCGAGAGACCTATTGGCCTCCTGGCCTGGGACCTAGCCCTTTCATTGGGCCTGGCTAGGATCCTACTGGCCCATTGTCTTTTGGCATGAGGCTTGAGGTGTTTGTGCCTGGACAAGCCCAGGCACGCCCGGCCCTGTCGGGGCCTGATACACTACAGTGAGGCTGGGCATCAGTGCTGCCCCCCGCCAGCCCCTTTCTTCACCATCCCGCTGCCCCGATTCCAAAGGCCCCACCACCACCCCGGTCTCTTCCTTCTGCCACCCTTGCAGGCAGCTCCCCAGGGGGGGGG